CACTGCCAGCAATAAGGCTTTTAGCTGCCCATTCTCTGGCCGGTCGCACACTAACAACCACGACATGTTCTCCACTGTCTGCCCTGCATCACAGAGGATGCCATCGAAACGGTCCAGCAGGTCTACCCAATGATACAACTCACACTGTGAAGAGAAACAGGTCATCATTAGAGATCTGAACATGCATATTAAACACAATATGATGCTACAGGTGTTGCCATATACCTTGCCAATGTTCCAGGTCTTGATTTGCTGCAGTTCCAGCAACAGCTGTTCATCGCTGCATCCTTTCAGCTTCTCTATGAGAGTCCTGCAGTCAGCAGGCTGGAAGAGGAGTGCAAAAACATGTCAACCATGAGGAAACATGCGCTCACAAACTCAAATACTCCAAATACACAGAAATCCTGTTTACTGACCGCTTCAGTGGGGGTTTTCTTCAATTTGCTTCTGTCAACCTTCATGGTCACTAATTTCTACACTCGATTCCTACAAAGAACACATCAAATCATGAGAGAGAAGCTCAGTCAAATGAACAGTGAATAATACTCATCTACATGCCACCATATGATATTTAAGCTTAGCGCTGCCACAGTATCACATGAAAAAAGAAATTTTCACAATTAAAAATTTAACCCTGGCTCATTCTAAACCTGGGTAAACAAAATCCTAGGTTATCTTGTTTTATGTTTTACACATACTCATACCCGAAGTTAAAAGTTCATTCTGTGTTTTCATAACATGACATTTCACACTGTACATTCCTAAACCCTGTATTTGTGTACTTATTAGCAATGTCAGTGTCACCGATTAGACGAAAACAGCACACAACCTGCTTACATAAATCACGCATTGTGAATCCTCAAATTATATATTGCCGACTGTACTATCAAAGTTTTGGACTTTTCAGAATGTAAAAGCAAGATTGAAATGCACTCTTTGACACACTGACACATTTTCTGTCACCATTTGACATTTCCCCCACCGACAAACTACTGTTTATACAACACAGTGTTTTTTTGTGACTGTCTAAAGTATGTGAGGCACGAGACGTTTGTTGCCAAGCATGTAACCGTAACATTCTAACACCACAACAGTTCACACTGCACAAGTTTGGCACCACAAAAGTGGCCCCTTCCCTGCTCCTAAATAACTGTGAAACACACCTTCACCTAGGTTTAAGTGGGGTTTAGAATCCAGATAACCCAGGGTTAAGCGCAGTGTGAAAAGCCCTTATGAGGTGTACTTTTTGAATCATACAAGAACAATTACATACTCAATAATAATAAAGGATCCAAATGTAGGCCGAAACGCCAACATGTTACCAATGTAAACAATCATCAGCCCCATGTTCAAGCAGATAAACTTTCAAATTAATCAAAGAACTTACGGTATATGATTTGGCAATTCCAACTTAACGGCATTTTTCATGTGCAAATCCTAAAGTGAAAAAGATAAATGAAAGTGAAACAATTCCCAAGAATGAACATAAGAAGTTTTGTGATATTGCTGCCAGAAACACAAACTCTCAGAAGGCATTAATGTAAAACTCTATATGTCAAAAAACTATTTCTTCTCAATGGTCACAAACAATCCCATACTAATTAGCTGTAGAATAAAAATCAAGGTTGGTGGAAAGAAAACAGAAGTCTGAGAGCAAGCCAAGTGAAAAGCAACCCACACTGGTTCAGATATGGGGCACAGATAATCCCATCTCACAAACACGTACTACCTGAATTCAACCCAATAATTTGCTCTTTCTGAAACAAGAGGCTGTTAATGTAGCGTTCTTAGAAAGGTAATCACTCCTTCTGAGAAACAAAACTCATTTAGGACCTTGAACCCGGTCAAAGAGAAGCACCGGCCGGTGATCAAGGAACCCGACATGGAAAAATGAGCAAGCACATTTAAAAAAAAACGTTATCTAGTTAAGCCATTTAAACGTAAGCGTAATTACTAAAGGAATAAGATAATTCCGTTCTTGACAGAGAACCAAACTGAGCTGTAGTCGAGAAAACAACACAGCAGCTAGTTACCGAATACCGAAAATTACAATGACATTAGCTAACCAGAGCTTTCACCATAAACGAAACTATAACACCGTAAACAAACTAAATTAAGTACAATTGAAAGTAACACAGCCACTCTGGCAATAAACCAATAACTCGACATGTTTATTTCATTAACTTAACTATTTCTAACGAAAACAAGACAGCAAACGCAGTTCAATTTGAGGAAAAGGCAGCTAACATGCTAACGTTAGCTAGTTTTTTCCGTGCTAACGTTACCTTAGTCAGCAAGCTAAGTATTGCTGTTAAACATAGTCACGTTATTCCTATTAAATGCCGCAAACAAAACACAATGATCGCCAGTTTTTGAATAAACTGTAAAGGAATTACCGTAAGCGGACTGTGGGGAAATTTGACCGTTAGCAGCTCGCGAGCTACGAGCCGCTAAGCATATAATTCCCCTCAACATGTCAACACAAACCCGCAATCCCTCAACTCACTGTTAAAATCTCATCCAAAACCCCTCTTTTCCAACAAACTCGCCAAATCCTTAATATAACGCTCGACTGTGGCGGAATACGCCAGGAGCGAAGCTACACATGTCCATATTTTTCCTCCAAGCTGCACACATGCTCTGGTCTAATCTAGAGCCCGGCTCAGGCGGGCCTGCTCCGGCAAACCCGCTCACTCCCCTCAGAACTCCAGCTCACAAAAACGGAGTCCGTCAAAGCGCTTACACGCCGACACACACGTACCGTAACGTATTATATTATCACACATTTTCAGCAAGAGCTTCGTCTCGATGAACTGTGGCCGGTGAAGCGTACGCGGCGGCGGCTGATGAGATGCTCGTGCGTGCGTTGGTTTGCTTGGTTAGCTTAGAAACGCAGAATATCTCGCTGAATCATTCCCCTCTCGGGCCTACCATAACACTGACTTCCAGTGGACGGCTCAATTTCTCACTTTTTACTGCTGCACTTCTGCGTAGCTGCATTTGGGGCGAACGTAGCGTGTCACACATGATGCTAAAGTCTACTTTATCAAATAAAAAATACATTTATCTGAAATATTGAAGGATAAAGTTGAGATATGATGAAATGTATCAGTCTAACTTTAATATAAAGTTAATACATTTTGCAATCAATCAGTCTGTATTTTTTGTTAATGCACTACATTAAGAGATAATGAACCATGTGAAGAAATGGTATGAAATATATATTTCCAAAATATAAATTATATTCATTCCAATATTGTTTAACTTAATAAATAACTTGAAACTGAATTGATTAAGCTTATGGAATGACTTATTTTCTCATTCATTGTACACAGTTGTTATACTCTATACTGTAGTTTGGAATTAACAGGTTTCATTCCTGTCATCAGCAACAGTTTAAACCATAATACATTATGTTTGGGGGTCACTTTACATCAGTTAGGGTCAGTTTGGTTACACTGACCCATATTATTCATCAGCAGTAATCTCTATAATAGATCATATGAGACAGATTTCTGGGGGTGCATTGGGGAATATAAACAGTTCTTTACATTATAACTGGACAACATAACAGATTACTGAAGATGGAAATATGTAAACCCCTACAGGCCAGATAAGAGGAATTTAGGTGTCAAGACTTGCTGGACTTGACGACTCAGCATATTTCTGGGTATGAGCATCCATCCAGAGAACACAATGTTTGAAGCCTAATTCTACAGCCGTGAGGACTGAAAATGCATAAATTGTACTAAAAAATCGAATTGTGCAGCTAATTTATCACATAGGCACATGCTCTTTTCGTCGTTATCCCCTGACAGAAGCATATATGAGTGTTATCCGCCAATTCCACGTCATTTTCACTCACGCACGTTTATTATATTTCATTTGAGAGATTCTGCCTAAGGAAAAATAGATTTTGTACGTTAAATAGATTTCAGTCTACGCGCGCGTGCATACAACACACCACAATGCTCGTCAGTCCGACTGCAAATTAAAAATGGCGGTTTATATTAGCAAAGTGTCTGCTCTTTCCATCGAAAACGCTTATTTTAATGACAGTATACGCGTACAATTTGCAAGAAAACCCGTCTGATTGTGTTAACGGTCAAGTAGAGTCAGCCACAGACGTCTACGCCGAACACACAAAGACTAATCTGAGCTCTTACCTCGGTTGCGCCTCAACATAACTTCTCCATTTTACAGCAGCGAGTGGGGATGTTAATCTCGCGATATTTCATTTGGCTTCCTCTGCTCCAATAGTAGCCTGCTGTAGTCACGCAGACCAGCCCCTTCAGTGATATGCGCCTAGACAGGCGAATTTAATCACACAAAATATGACCAGTATTCAGTGTAATAAAATGTATTTCTGTATGATAATCCATTTTCGGTCTCTCGAAACTTCAGATACTCAAAAAGCACTGGCAAAGAATAAAAACAGGTGCAACAAACAAGATCAAATAATACAAGTGATTAAATTGGCTTTAAGATGACTACACCTTGAATCCCAAATGGCAGAAGCGTTTGCCACCATAATGTCAAATATTCCCAAAACTGTCTTGCACGTGCTTTAGAGGTATAATTCTCAAATTGTCTCAATAACGCTAAGGTCTAAGTTAATATTTTAGTTTCCCAAAACAGTGAATGCCCCTCTTGTATTTCCTGCTAAAATTATAACAATTATAACTTTTTACTAGGCCTACCAGACACTAGGTCTGTCTATATATTAAAATAACTAATCACGATTAATTTCAAGATTTTGCCAATACCCCCAGTTTACTAACAGTTGTTTATGGGACGAATTTAATTAATTTTTTTTTTTTTTTTGCCAGATTTTCATGCTGCAGTGAAAAGGTGCATGTAATATTTCATATTTTTTTCCATATATATAACATTTATTTTACTAAGAGCCTCTGTTGAGAATCAGTCACAGACTCCTGCCAGTAGGTGGCAGCATAAAGCTGTTTGATGGGCAGTTTTTAGTACACGACCGATTCCCCAAATAGAAGAAGAGTGTTGTCGTAGCAACCTGAAGCTTATGGCGAAGGATAACTGTCCACAGCTTTTGAAGATAAGTATAACAGATGCATAGAGGCGTTACATTTAGCTTCTGCTTTGTCATCTGTTAGAAACAAACGTACGTTTTGCACACCAACTGAACTATTTTAGCAGGTTTTAACACCCTTTAGAAAGCTGGTACGTGCATCCGCGGTTAAGTGTCACATCTTTTGTGTAAACCGCTCATTTACAAGATGCATAAGGTTTTAGTGCTATGCTCATTGGCACAGATAAGTCTCACATGATGTTGTGTTCTGTTTAGTTCAATGTCGGTGGTAAACAGTCAGGTGCCAGCCCGTTTCTTAACTCTCGTCGCGCACCTTGTAATAGTAATCATCATATTCTGGTCCCGGGTATGAACTTCTGTGTTTCATCACAGTTGTATCGCAGGAAATCATTGCAGTCAGGTCTGTGATTATTAAGTGTTGAACCTTCATCCCACAGGAGAACAGTGTCAGAGCCTGCCTACCACTGGACTACACTAATGAAGAATACAGGTTAGAGGACACACGGTACGTAACAGGTCTTCTGCATTCTCATTTGCTTTAAAAGTGTGTAGGCCAATGACAAGTAAATCAGGGATGATAAGAAGTAGAAATTTAAATTTAATTGAATGTTGTTGTTGTTTTTAAATACAGAAGAAACAGTATTATTTTGGGAAATGTTAACTTTTCTGTTTTAATATATTTTAAAATTTATTTTTATTATCAATGTTGAAAACAGTTGTGCTGCCCAATATTTTTAGAAAACTGAATTTCTTTTCAGGATTAATTAATTCATTACATTTATTTAGCGCTTTTCTAGGCACTCAAAGAGCTTTACATTGTCAGGGGGTATCTCCTCATCCACCTGGATGATGCGACGGCAGCCATAGTGCGCCAGAGGAGACAGAGTGATGAAGCCAATCAGTAGATATGTGGATGGTTAGGAGGCCATGATGGTCAGAGGCCAATGGGCAAATTTGGCCAGGATGCCGAGGTCACACCTCTACTCTTTTTGAAAGACATCCTGGGATTTTTAATGACCACAGAGAGTCAGGACCTCGGTTTAACGTCTCATCCGAAGGACGGTGCTTGTTGACAGTATAGTGTCCCCGTCGCTATACTGGGGCGTTAGCACCCACACAGACCACAGGGTGAGCACCCCCTGCTGGCCTCCCTAGCACCTCTTCCAGCAGCAACCTAGTTTTCCCAGGAGGTCTCCCATCCAGATATTGACCAGGCTCAGCCCTGCGTAGCTTCAGTGGGTAACCAGTCTTGGGCTACAGGGTGATATGGCTGCCACTACAGAGTGATATGGATTCTTTGATTAGTAAAAAAGATTTTAATAAGAAGCATTTATTTGAAATAGATTTTTTTTGTAACAATGTAATAGTCTTCACTGTCACTTTTGATCAATTTAATGCATCCTTGCTAAATAAACATATTAAATTCTTAAAAAAGTTAATGACCCCAAACTTTTGAACGGTTTTAGATATAATAATATATAATAATTTAGATATATAATAATAGTTGTGTGTGTGTGTGTGTGTGTGTGTGTGTTTGTTTGTGTCATTTATGGTAACAATAGTTCATATGCCAGAAAATCTTGTAAGGCATATTTGGAACAAGAATCATTAGATGACATTAAAAAACTCCAAAAACTAACTGTAATTTTAAATATTTACCAATCTTTGCCACTCTCTTTAAAACAACTAGGATTTACCCTTTTGTCATCAAGAAGTTTTTAATAATTTAATATATAAATATTTAGTATGATCACTTTTTTTTTAATAAGTACAGGTCAAAATAAGTTTGTTTTATTTTTACATTAATATATCTGTTACACTGAATGACGATGGAACATTATTTTTGACATTTTATTTTCACAAAAGTTATTTGAACATTGAAGTAGACACTTGCATTTAATATTCTTTCTATGTATATAAAATCACTTTTGTAAATTAAATTCGATGTGGACACCAAAATGGGACGTCTTGTCTTTGACCCATATATATATATATATATATATATATATATACAGTCGTGGGCACAAAAATGCATCCTGAACCCTATAGAAAATGAGTGTGGTGAACAGAAGAGGAGAAGCAGCATCATGGAGCTGGGAATCTGAAGGGTCTGGAGAGATTCTGGATGAAGGAATTGTCTCTGATCTCTTGTCAGGTGCTCTCTAACCTCATCAGGCATTATAGGAGAAAACTCAGAGCTGTTATTATGCCAAATGGAGGTTTCAAAAAGCATTGAATAAAAGAGTGCCCTTAATTGTGTCCAATGTGTATTAGAGAAAAACATTTATGATCTTTCCCCCCATTTTAAATTCTTATTCTCCAATGAAAGGTTAGATTTATGTGCATTTTTTAAATAAAAGATCAAAATGATTAACAATGCAGATTTATTTTCACAGCCTTCTTTGATCATATTTTCCAAGGGTGCCAATAATTCTGACCATGACTGTATGTATATGTATATAACATTTTGTGTATAAATTGTGTACATAAAGAATTATTAATCTAATGAATTAAAACAGTAACTAATTCTGTTAGTACTATATCTGAGGCATATATTTCATGTTCAACAACAATCAAGCTCTTCTATGTATCCTTACCAGTAGCACATCATCACCACAGGCTCAACTTACTTAGCTGTCCACTTCAAATGGATATCTTTACCTTTATTATCATAGAACAGTCCAAAAACGAATGCAGGGTTTTAGCATTACGTTGTTATTCACAATGGTAGCAGTTAATAATTTCTGGTTATTACTGATATGGCATAATCATACAGATTTTTATTTAACCATCACTTTGTAGCTATTGGATGTCACGCCAGTGGCTCTGTGGCTTTGCTCTTCTTCTTGTTTGAGCAATGGACCTGCAGCATCTACTGGTGGATCTTTGGCTTCTGTAGGTAAGTCTGTAAATAATTGTATAACTGTAAATAATAAATTCTCTTTAATTCTGTCTTTTTAAAAACTTTTTATAATCATGTTTTCTCTATATATTTCAGTGTGATTCCAGCACTATATGAGATGGTCCTTTTTGTTGTAGTGTTTGTATTTAAGAGGAAGCCTCTATGAGCGTCTCTGCCCTCTTGGTTCAGGCAAGTTGGATATTGTCCTTCCATGACTGACGTACCAGAATATCCTGAAACCAGAGTAATATTCACTGGCACAAATAAATTGGTCTTTTCCATGAAGCTTCTCTGGAGGGTTTTTAGATTGCTCAATTATGTTTGAAGACTTTTTGATGGTTTTATGTGGTTAAAAATTATTTCTTGAAAATATCATATTTTGTACACATTGTGATGAATTAAAGTATTTTGCATTTTGATACAACTGACCGACTAACTGGGCCTGTTCATGCTTCACATTTTTCAGTAGATTATACAACATTTTTATCAATAAAACAAATTAATCATAAGCACATGTAATATGAATTTTACCTTTTTTACTTAATTTATACTAAATGCATTCCCCAAATTCATACTAAAAACAAACATTTTGCCATCATTTACTCACCCTCAGGTCATTCTAAACCTATGATCTACTTTCTGCTGTGGGAAAGAAAATAAATATATATATATATATATATCCCCCCCCCCCCCCCCAAAAAAAAAAAACAGTTGAAACATTCTTTAAAAGAAAAAAGCAAAAAAAAACATACATATAAATTGTTTATTTTTTATTATTTTTTTTTAAAGAATGTTTCAACTGTTTTTGTCCATATAATAGACAAATGAACATTGGACCCCATTGACTTTCCTTGGTAAGGACCAAAACAACCACAATCATTTTTTTTTTTAAATATTTTGTCTTGTGCTTCACAGAAGAAAGAAATGATATGAGTAAATTATGACACAATTTCGGAGTAAACTATCACTTTAGGATATTTTGTTTTGCCAGGGTGAGAGAAACATTTGGAAATTGCTTGTGAATGAACACTGAATGTGACATTTTTGTTGACATTTCAGCTGGAAGTGGAAGGTGGGTAACTCCAGGAGAATGAGAGTGAGAATTAGCCAACCATTCGCTTAAGTCACAGAATACGCTGTAACTGCAACAAGTTATCATTTTTATTTCAAGCATAATTGCCCGTCTGAAGCCTATATTTGTTGCACTCCTTATTTTAGCTTAAAATAATCCTTTTTAAAAGTTAAACCCATGATAAAAAAAAGTAGCAGTTAGAAGAGAAAAGTTCACCACAGAGCATTTCATGTGAATCCAAAAACCTCCATGATGTATTCCATCGGCTTACAAGGGTACATTTATATTTATGTTCTTAGCAAACATCAAGGTGTTTGTTGATATGCCGTAGAACTGCCAAGAGAATTTAGTCCTTCACAGGAGTGATGAGTCCGTGAGCCTGTGAGGTACATGCTGAGCTGAGCATAGCTGACTTCAGCTGGACTGCACACACTCTTTCATTAAGATGGATGAAAACACACAAATGAACAGTGACAGTCACTAAAACACTACAAGGTTTCAAAAGGGGGTTTTCGCAGCAATGCCATAAAAGAACCATTTCTGTTTCCTCAAAGAACCTTTCAGTCAACAGTTCTTAAAAACAAAAAAAAATTCTTAGCACGACTAACTTTCTTTAAATTTTTTATCTGAAGAGCATTTTTCCATTATGAAGCTTTTGTGCAATGGGCAGTTCCCATGGATATTAAAAGTTCCACATGGAGCCATAGATGTCAACAAAGAACCTTTATTTTTAAGAGTGTAGAACAAAAGATATTCACACTATCAAAAAGAAACTGTAAAAACTTAAATCTATTTATCTATCATCTAACTTTTTTTAAATATAAAAAGTATAAGTTCTATCTATATCACATTATCACACATTATGTCTTACATGATTATATATATATATATATATATATATATATATACACACATAAGAAATATACACATATATAAATAATTTTTAATACCTGTGTATAAAACAAACTAATACACATTTTATTTTTGTAATGAAGCAATGACATTATTAAAGGACCCTAAAAATATATCTTCCTGTCTATCTATCTATCTATCTATCGTACATTATATAAATAATATATATTCTTATAAGAGAAAAAACATTTATAAAGAGTTTTCTTATAAATATATATTAAAATAAATAATTGTAATAATACAGTTTTACATTTTTTTCAATAGTAGTATTAAAAGACACTTTATAAAAAAAAAATTGAATTAAGGTACTCCATTAAATTATGATTTATTAAAGTAATTAGTTAAATTGAGGTTATTGTATCCACTTCATTTTCAAATGCGGAAGTAAGCCGTTTTTCTGTGAATGTGTGAGACTTCCGGTTCATTAGCCGCTGTAGGGAAATAACCAAGAAGAATAACGAAGTGCAGTAAACTGTAAAACCGTTTGCTCTACAAACCAGTGTTCATAATTAAGATAATACATTAAAATAATATGGTAAGACACACCAGTTTGCAATATCACGCCGCAAAACGAGCTGCTTTGTACATAGCTGGAAGTGGATGGCACCGGAAGCCAGGCACATTAAATTTACTAATGGCTGCGCCCGCTCTTACAAAAAAAAAAAGGTGAATAAAGAGTTGAAATTGGTTTTGTTGGCATTTACTTTAAATGGAAGGACTTGCAATTAAACACAGAGTTGGAAGATTTCTTTCTATGCCTTTAAGAGAAACCCCATCTCTCCCTTTTTGCTCTGGTGGCATCTATTCATGTACCCTGATTTTCTTGGACAAAATCAATACCTCCATTTCCAAGAAACTTCCCTCATATCCTCTAAATAATCCAACCACTCATCCTAACTTAAATAAACCATAGCAATCAATAAGGCAACTTCAGCCAAGACGCTGCATCGGCCTGTCTTTAATGAGCTCCACTCTCTGTGTGTACACAGCCCTATTTCCTCGGCAGCTCATGCAACTGTCTGCACACATGTTATCGGCACGCTTTGCTCCCCATCGTTATTTTCATCCTTGTCTCTGTTTGCCATGACCCACCTCATCGCCTGACCCCTCTGCTGTCTGTCGCATAGTGAAAGCTCTCTTCACCTTAGGCCAATTAGTGTCAACTAGACACCAACAACATCAGTGACCTCTGGCTAGATAATTAAAACTAAATGGAAGGTGCATCTTGAGAAAAACGCCACTTCCGGTGACTGTGCCGGGACCTTTTGCCATCTCCTTCAGTGGCTATTAACACTGTGCACACCACAATACTTTATAGTGTATTGATGTCACCGTCCAGTAGTTTTGCACAAGTACTAGTGATCTAAAGAAAATAAACTAGAGTAGATGCCTATGACAGCTTCAAAAAAACACTGTGATGGTTAATAATTGTGCTGTTTTGTGGTGGATTTCACAGTAAGTGTTATCGTGCAGCACCACCCAGGTGAAAAAGAAATATATTTAAATTGTGCTTTTTCAGCCATACTTACTATATTTAAATTATACTATACTAAGTGCATATTAAATGTATTATTTTGAAACAACTTTAAGTATATTAAGTGTATTTCAAGATATGTTTAAGTTGGATTTGAATCTATTTGTAATATATTTAATACATTGAAATTGTGTTCAAATGGAACCACTTTAAGTATATTTAGTGCAATTTAAGTGTATTTCTTAAAATACATTTAAAATGACCTTTTAATACTTCATGAACTACAGTATATTTGAAGCATCGTTTTAATGTACTTCAAGTACATTTCAATTGTATTTCAGTTCATTGGAAATGCATTAGCATTACACTACTAGTATATTATAAAGCTGCTTTTTTCAGTATATACACACACGTACACACTTTGATATCTAGAAAACTTTAATAAGTAAGCCGTTTTTCTGTGAATGTGTGAGACTTCCGGTTCATTAGCCGCTGTAGGGAAATAACCAAGAAGAATAACGAAGTGCAGTAAACTGTAAAACCGTTTGCTCTACAAACCAGTGTTCATAATTAAGATAATACATTAAAATAATATGGTAAGACACACCAGTTTGCAATATCACGCCGCAAAACGAGCTGCTTTGTACATAGCTGGAAGTGGATGGCACCGGAAGCCAGGCACATTAAATTTACTAATGGCTGCGCCCGCTCTTACAAAAAAAAAAAGGTGAATAAAGAGTTGAAATTGGTTTTGTTGGCATTTACTTTAAATGGAAGGACTTGCAATTAAACACAGAGTTGGAAGATTTCTTTCTATGCCTTCAAGAGAAACCCCATCTCTCCCTTTTTGCTCTGGTGGCACCTATTCATGTACCCTGATTTTCTTGGACAAAATCAATACCTCCATTTCCAAGAAACTTCCCTCATATCCTCTAAATAATCCAACCACTCATCCTAACTTAAATAAACCATAGCAATCAATAAGGCAACTTCAGCCAAGATGCTGCATTGGCCTGTCTTTAATGAGCTCCACTCTCTGTGTGTACACAGCCCTATTTCCTCGGCAGCTCATGCAACTGTCTGCACACATGTTATCGGCACGCTTTGCTCCCCATCGTTATTTTCATCCTTGTCTCTGTTTGCCATGACCCACCTCATCGCCTGACCCCTCTGCTGTCTGTCGCATAGTGAAAGCTCGCTTCACCTTAGGCCAATTAGTGTCAACTAGACACCAACAACATCAGTGACCTCTGGCTAGATAATTAAAACTAAATGGAAGGTGCATCTTGAGAAAAACGCCACTTCCGGTGACTGTGCCGGGACCTTTTGCCATCTCCTTCAGTGGCTATTAACACTGTGCACACCACAATACTTTATAGTGTATTGATGTCACCGTCCAGTAGTTTTGCACAAGTACTAGTGATCTAAAGAAAATAAACTAGAGTAGATGCCTATGACAGCTTCAAAAAAACACTGTGATGGTTAATAATTGTGCTGTTTTGTGGTGGATTTCACAGTAAGTGTTATCGTGCAGCACCACCCAGGTGAAAAAGAAATATATTTAAATTGTGCTTTTTCAGCCATACTTACTATATTTAAATTATACTATACTAAGTGCATATTAAATGTATTATTTTGAAACAACTTTAAGTATATTAAGTGTATTTCAAGATATGTTTAAGTTGGATTTGAATCTATTTGTAATATATTTAATACATTGAAATTGTGTTCAAATGGAACCACTTTAAGTATATTTAGTGCAATTTAAGTGTATTTCTTAAAATACATTTAAAATGTCCTTTTAATACTTCATGAACTACAGTATATTTGAAGCATCGTTTTAATGAAACAAAATTAAATAACAGATTTTGACATGAATGACTGAAAGCAAGCATAAATAGACAGCTGAAATGGACACATTGCTAACGTTTTTCTTCCAAGATTGACCAAATCACCCTCCATTAGGCC